ATTCTGGAGCTTACCTGGTCACTGTGCACTTTTAGACTACCTGTATCCATGTACTTGGTAGCAGAATCTGTGCTTTTCTGCTTAGGGCACAAATGCTAATTCATACACTATCTACAAGGTGGATAGTGTAGAAGGTGATACCAGTCACAACCCCAGGCATTTAATTCAACTGCTGGTAATACCAACAAAAAAATATTTGATTAAGTGTATTTATATAATAAGATTTCTCTGGTATGAAACATTTTCCTGCAAGTGCATGATGCTAAAAGATAAAAAACCACCTATTGTAGAACAAGAGGCAGCAACGTTTTAAACTTCAGTAATGAAGCCACTAAAATTTTTAAAACAAAAATTACACACTATATTTTAAAATTTTAAAGTAAATAAGACAACCAAGGAAGAAAAGCAGTTCAAGACAGAGCTCAAAAATCCTACTCTCATCACAGTTTGGAAAACCAAGGTGGCCTTTCATGGCCACGAATCATTTGGTTGTTCTTAGTTTTCTGAATGGTTCCTTTCTCAAATGACTATTCAAGATAAAAGGTCACAGTATCAACTACTGTGATACAGATTCACCTAAGTGTGTTTGTTTCCCTTCTCCCGTATTTGCAATGTTTCAACCAGGCTCCACTAAGGCATGACAACAGACTTAAGTATAGAATGAGACCACCATTACACAGACTGATGGCACGTACCCCATACTGCTGGCACTACCATTTGATGCATCACCAGATGATAAATAAGAGCCAGGAATAGAATCTTAATGCATTTAATCTGTCTTCGATAACCTTGGCCTACAGGCCTTCCATACCCATTCCCTACCCACAAAAGCCAAGGTTACAGAAATAATTAAATGGTAGTCTTTCCACAATAATATTCCAAATTTACCCATTCCTAAGAGTCACTTGGGGGGCTTGTGAAAATGGTATATCCAAGCTTCCTTTCCCGGGTAGTCTACGTGAGTAGATCTGAGGGAAGGCCATATGGGGAGGCCTGAAATCCCATATTTTAACAAATGACTCAGGTAAGCTTGGGAGACACTACTGGTGCTGGCTTCTCCTGGTAAACCTCACCCTGCTCTGACCCCATCAAGATAAGCCTGGTAAGCAGCAGTAGAGAGTGGAGAAGGCCTCAAGGGTTGGCTTCAGCTGAGCTCAGGAGGTATGGGAAGGCCCTGAGCCATTTCTGAGTGCAGCACTCCACTCTCCTCAGAGGCCACCTTGAACATGGAGCATCAGTGTGCTCTGATGCCCCAGGATCACCTCAGTACCCTCAGATGAGGGTCTCTCCTCCTCCTGGGCTTTCTCAGGCTTGCAGCTACACCACTGCACCCACACTGGACTCAACGGCTTTAGGGCAATGGCACAGCGTTATGCTTACTCTCAGAGGCTGCTGCATGCTTGCACTGGCTCTGATCACACCTGATCCAGACTGAAGAAGGTCAAAAGGCTAACTACTGACAAAACCAGGGCACACCTACCAAGCAGCACAGTGGAAATGTTCCTGAAATCCTGGTTTCAATCTCTGCCTTCAACACAGAGAGCTTTTTAAAGATGCCTAGGACACAACTTGTGTGGGTGCTTTAGTTATTTGCTGGCAGCTAAGCAAAATCCTACAGGCAATTCAGGCATCTAAAATCTTTGACTTGTGGACCAATAAGAGCTATCACTCTCAGAAACTTGTACTACTTAGAAAAAGTTCACACATAAAGTAATAAAATCGAACATCAAACACTTACTATGGGCTAGAATTTGTGCTAAGCACTTTACAAGCTTTAATTCTTCTTTCTTTCACTCATCTCTCAATTTTTCATCAAGAGTCCAGTACTTCTACGGTGCTGAGGATGCCTTGGTGAATAAAACAGACACCAATCTTGCCTTATGGGCCTTACAATTCAGGGAAATGACAGAAAGACAATAAAAATTATAGACAAACCATACGGGTTGTTAGAAGGGGACCAGTGATAAGGAGAGCAAGCAGAGAAAGGGGTGTGTGGGAGGAGGAGTGGTTTCCATCTTTAAATATGGTGGTGCTCAGGGCCTTGCTGAGGAGATTCGGTCTGGCAGAGGGTTCCAGCAAAGGAAGCACCAGTGCAAGGTTTCTAAGTCAGGAGCATGTCCAAGTGCCCAGGGACAGCAGAGAAATCCATGTGGTGAGGCAGTGTGAGCAAGAAAGCGAGGAGGCTAGAGAGGACACTGAGGCCAGGCTGGGAGGGTCTGGCGGCCCCTGAGAGAATTCTGACTCTTCCTCTGAAAGAAACGGGTGCAGTGGAGGGTTTGACTAGAGCAGTAGGTTTAAATTTCTGTTTTCCAAGCTATAGTGTCAAGAATAGACAGTGAGCGTGATTATGAATCTTTTCATAATCTGATCTTTTCATAATCCCTGGTGGCTTACATCAGGGAGGTGACAGTAGAGAAAAGAGCAATGCTCTTAATCCAGACATATTTTGAAAGTAGAGCTGATGGGATTTCCTAAACAGCTGAACAAGTCTAAGATGAAGAAGGGAGTTAAGGATGACTCCAAAGTTTCTGAGGATGAAACCACCATGAATGGAGATGGGGAAGGCAGATTACATGTAGAACAAGTTTGGAAAATGAGGGAATCTTGTCCTGGACACACTCTCTGAGAATATACAATATCAAAATGGAGATGTCAAGTAGGCAATTGGATATATGAATCTAGAGTCCAGGGGAGAACAACAGGCAAGAGATGCAAATCTAACAGTCCTCAGCACAAAAGGAGTATTTAAAGTCATGAGAGACAGTATACAATAACAGAGAGTGAGGACAAAGAGCAAACGCCCAGACTGAGCTCTGAGCCACACCTCCATGTACAGGTCAGGAAGAGAAAAGCCAGGCGGGGCGTGGTGGCTCATGCCTATAATCCCAGCACTTTGGGAGGCCAAGGCAGGTAGATCACCCCGAGGTAAGGAGTTTGAGGCCAACCTGGCCAAAGTGGTAAAACCCTGTCTCCACTAAAAATACAAAAATTAGCCGAGCATGGTGGTCTGTACCTGTAATCCAGCTACTTGGGAGGCTAAGGCAGGAGAATTGCTTGAACCCAGGAGGCAAATGTTGCAGTGAGTAGAGATCGTGCCACTGCACTCCAGCCTGGCTGTGAGATTCCGTCTCAAAAAACAAAAACAAAAACAAAAAAAGAAAAAAGCCACAAAGGAGATGGAGGAGAAGCAGCCTGACAGAGAGGAGAAGGCACAGGAGTGTAGTATAAGGGAAACCAAAAAGAATGTCCTAGACGACAGAGCGCTCAACAGTGCCAAACGGTGCTGACAGGTCACATCAGATTAGGACTGAGCTGGCTGGGTTGGGGACAAAGCAGTCCTTGACAACCTCAGCAACCACAGGGGTTAAGAGCCCAGGAACCCAGCAAGCTAGGTATTCATTATCAATTTACAGATGAGGAGACAGCACCAAAAAAGGTTGAGGTTAACAGCCAGGTCATGGCAAGGCCAAGATCTCTGCTCCACACACACATGCAAATCTTTTGTGGGTTCATCTGGGAGGTGAGATATAAAGAGAGGAAGGAGAGATGCAGAGAATTTGGGTTAAGAAAACTAAACCTTCCACTATTTGTTCCCTTAGCAAAACCTTCTGAGGGGAGAAAAGAGCTTAGCCAATGACTGACAAATGAACCAGAAGCCAAGAAGCAGGGCAGAAGGCAAGTCATTGTGCCAGGAAGGTAGTAGCAGCACTATCTTGTGTTCTATTGTCCCTAAATGTGTACAAAACCAGCTTATCGGAACACTGAAGACTGACAGATATAGGGCCAGTTCTACTGCCAAAGTGAACTCTTCAGGCCCTGGTGCTACATGGAGCCCAGGGAGCCAGTCCTGTGGGTTCTTTAATTGGATACTTTCCACAAGTCTGCTTATTTCTGACCCAAACCTGTTTGAAACCTTCTAGTCTAACATACAGAGCCTAACTTGCACAACTGAGAATTCCTGAAGAAACTGGCCTGCATCAGCTAGGAGCCCTCAGGCCCTGAGAGGACATTTGGGAATATTGCCACACCCACCCCAAATGAAGCACTGCTTTTCCAGCACCACGCCTTGATGTTGCAGTTCATCTTTCCAACGCGCACTTCACTACCGCATATGAAGAGGTAGTGTGGGGGTAAGAGAAGGAGCCTCAACCTCAAAAGGTGGAATACTTGGGTTCTGGTGCCAGCTCTACCATAAAAAGCTATGTGGAAGGCCAGGTAGGGTAGCTCGCGCCTATAATCCCAGCACTTTAGGAGGCTGAGGTGGGCAGATCACCTGAGGTTGGGAGTTTGAGACCAGTCTGGCCAACATGGCAAAACCCTGTCTCTATTAAAAATATAAAAATTAGCCGGGCATAGTGGTGCACACCTGTAGTCCCAGCTACTTGGGAGGCTGAGGTGGGAGCATTGCTTGAACCCAGGAGGCAGAGGTTGCAGTAAGCCAAGATTTCGCCACTGCACTCCAGCCTGGGCAATGGAGTGAGACTCCATCTCAGGAAAAAAAAAAAAAAAAAGCTGTGTGAAAACAGCAAGTTCTCCCAAGGGCTCCAAAGACTTGCTGACCCTTATCTTCCAGAGTCTCAGCTCCCTCGTGGTAAGGAAACACAGCATAGAAACCTGAAATGGGCTCTGAAGTCAAGCTGCCCTGGGCTACTGCTAAGTAACTAACTGTGTTAACCTGAGTTGAGTAAGTTAACTTCTTTAAGCCTCATTTTTAGTATCTGGAAAATGGGATGACAATAATACATATGCCATGGGAAACTGCGAAAACAGTGCCTAGCAATGGTGTACACTCTATTTCCCGTCATGAAAGATGCATTTACTCACAACTACTTTCCCCACTTGTAATTTAGATATATTTATTAGTAAACTTCTGATACAAAGGTATACCAGATTGATTGAAATAATATTAAGAGCAAAGGAAGTAATTCAGTTCCCCAAAGAAGCCAGAACAATCCAAAAATTGACAGTAAAGGTGAAATGCTGTGGCAAATGACATGTACCTTGAACAGGGATTTCCCCATAGTTTGGCCTCTTATCTGAAAGGGCTGTCAGGGGTTTGGACGTTGAGATTGGTCCACTTATGGAATGTCTCTGAAATCATAAGATAAACAATATCGAAGTTAAATCAAGTGTTGGGACTCATAAACGCCGCAGAAAATAGATATTTAGTTATAAATCTGTATTAATTTCTTCCATACTGCTAAAGTAAGGTTGTAACACACCTTACAGGCACAGACTGTGATCAATATACTTTTTTTTTTTTTTTGAGACGGAGTTTCGCTCTTGTTACCCAGGCTGGAGTGCAATGGCGCGATCTCAGCTCACCGCAACCTCCGCCTCCTGGGTTCAGGCAATTCTGCTGCCTCAGCCTCCTAAGTAGCTGGGATTACAGGCACGTGCCACCATGCCCAGCTAATTTTTTGTAGTTTTTTAGTAGAGACGGGGTTTCACCATGTTGACCAGGATGGTCTCGATCTCTTGACCTTGTGATCCACCCGCCTCGGCCTCCCAAAGTGCTGGGATTACAGGCTTGAGCCACCGCGCCCGGCCAATATACTTTATTTTTAAATTAGACTTTTTATTATGGGATAATTATAGACTCATATGCAGTTGTAAGAATATAGCGAGATCCTATGTACTCTTTACTCAGTTTCCTCCAGTGGTACTACCTTATATACCTATAGTAAAATGTCAGCAGGATTTTGACATTAGCCAAGATACTGATACAGCCATATCTTATATAGTCATACATATTAATACAGTCAAGATACAGAACATTTCCATTACCGGAAGGATCCTTCCTGGGGTCCTTTTATAGTCACACCCCTCTCCCCATCCCCAATCCCATATCATTGACCCCTGGCAACCACTGGTATTCTAAATGTGGTTTCATTATTTTGTTGGAAGAGAATCTTTAATATATCACAATCCAGTTCACTAAATATAAAAACACTAAATATAAAAACATGTTCCAAAATGAAATGGGGATGTGCTCTTTTTGTAATTTTACTGCCCATTCAAGCCCTGGTTCAAATAGATCTCAATTCTGCCACCTGCTCGCTAATGCTACTACAGCAACTGCCCAGTACAGCCTGTCATCTCAGTGCAGCATTATACCAACGCTTGTCACTGGCTTTCTCATCTCCAGACTTCTGCATACGCAAGCAGCCAGAAGAATCCACTATGAACACTTACAACCCCTCAGCTCTCCTGCCACCTCTACATGATGCTCAAACACCACCATTTACTATCACGCAGACCACGTTGCTTGTCTGTTTTTCTTGTGCTTCATTCCCACAGCTTTCCCCTAGTCCTTTTTATCTGGCTAACTTCTAACCACTCCTTTCATATTCCCAGCAGAAATGTGTACAAGGTCCAGCTTCTCCACATCCCTACCACGCTTCAGATCATCATCCTTTTAAATTCTGGCCATTCGGAAGTATACAGAATGAGATCTCATTGTGGATTTAATTTCCATTTTCCTGATGACTAATGATGTTGATCAACTTTTCATGTGCCACTGGATATTTGTATTCTTTTGGGAAGGATCTTTTTAAATCTTATGCCCACTGCCGGGAGCGGTGGCTCAAGCCTGTAATCCCAGCACTTTGGGAGGCTGAGGCGGGTGGATCACGAGGTCAGGAGATCGAGACCATCCTGGTCAACATGGTGAAACCCCGCCTCTACTAAAACTACAAAACATTAGCTGGGCATGGTGGTGTGTGCCTGTAATCCCAGCTACTCAGGAGGCTGAGGCAGGAGAATCGCCTGAACCCAGGAGGCGGAGGTTGCGGTGAGCAGAGATCGAGCCATTGCACTCCAGCCTGGGTAACAAGAGTGAAACTCCGTCTCAAAAAAATAAATAAATAAATAAATAAAAATAAAAATAAAAAATCTTACGCCCATTATTTATTGGGTTGTCTTCTTACTGAATGTAAATCTTTGTTAGATAAATGTATTACGAATATATTCTCCCCAGTCTGCAGCTTGCTTTTGTATTTTCTTAATGTCTTTCAGGGAAGTTTTAAGTTTTGATGCCCACTTAATTTATCAACTTGCTTTGATAGTTCATGCTTTTTTACATCTTAATAAATCTTTGCAGTCTTAAAGGTCATGAAGATTTTCTCTCATGTTCTCATGTAAAAACTGTATAGTTTAGCTTTTGCATTTAGGATGATAGTCTATTTCAATTTTTGTGTATGTCATAAGGTACAGGCTGAGGTTTTTTTTTTTTTCTATATAGTTATCTTGTCATTTCAGAATCTTTTCTTCAAAAGACTGTCCCTTACCCATTAAATTACTTTGGCATCTTTGTTGAAAATCAACTGGCCTACTTCTGAACTCTCTGTTCTACTGATCTCATGTCTACACTGAAACCTTTGTCAGTACCATACTGTCTTGATCACTCTAACTTTGTAGTAAGTGTTAAAATCAGGTTGCAAGAGTCCTCCAAATTTGTCCACCACTCGCACCCCTTGACCCCAATGTGTTGAATATTCAGGGCTCTTGCATTTCCATATGAATTTAATACTACCATGTCAATTTCTACCCAAAGAGCACTACTATTTTAATTGGGGTTGTGTTGAATCTATAGACCAATTTAAAGGACTACTACAAGATATTAACAATATTGAGTCTTCCAATCTATAAATGACATCACTTTTCATTTATTACTTCAATTTCTCTCTGCAGTATTTTATTGTTTTCATTGCACAGGTTGTGCACACATTTCATTATATTTATTGCTAAGTATTTCAATTTCCAATTATTCATGCTAATATACAGAAAAACAAACAACTTTTGTATAGGACCTTGTGTAAACCTTAACACTGCTCAACTCAAAAAGCTTTTGTGTGGACTCCTTAGGATTTTCTACATAAATAATCATGTTATCTGCAAATAATGACAGTTTTACTTTACCTTTTCCAAATCTGTATTTATTTATTTTTGGGGGGGGGTCTTATGCAATTGCACAGGGCAAGAGCTCAAGCAAAATGCTGAACAAAAGTGGTGAGAGTGGGTCTCCTTGCCTTGCTCCTGATGCTGGTGGGAAAACATCCAGTCCCCACATTAAGTATGATGCTAGCTGTGGAGTTCCCACAGGTCCCTTTCTATTTCTAGTTTGCTAAAGAGTTTTACTATGAATGGATGTAAAACTTTGTCAAATGCTGAGATTAATGGTTTTTTTCTCTTTTATTCTGTTGAAGTAAATTTTAAACTTGCACCCCTGGGATATACCACACTTGGTAGTGATGGACGATCGTTTTTATATATTGCTGGACTCAGGACTCAGTTTGTTAATGTGTGCTTTTATATTGCATCCATAACCATCTATAATCACGAGGAATGTTGGCTAGCAGTTTTCTTTGTTTGCAATGTCTTTGTCTGGTTTTGCTATCAGGTAATGCTAGCTTCCTAAAATGAACTGGAAAGTCCTTTTACTCTTCTGTTTTCTGAAAGACTATATACAATTAGAATTATTTCTTCCACAAAGGTTTGATTCAATTCACTAGTAAAACCAACTGGGCTTGAAATTTTCTTTGTGGGAAGACTTTCTATTTTCAACTTTAATTCTGAAATAATTATAGATTCCCAGGAAGTTGTAAAGATATTACAGCAAAGTCCCATAATACTCCTCATCCACTTTCCCCCAACTGTCTGCTGATAATAATGAATTCCCTCAGCTTCCGTTTGTCTAACAAATTTTAGTTTTACTTTTTTATTGAAAACACAGAATTTTACGTTGACAGCGTTCTTCTTTCAGCATCTGAAAACCCCATTTTGGGATACAAAAATTAGCTGGGCGCCATGGCATGCACCTGTAGTTCCAGCTACTTGAGAGGCTGAGGCACAAGAGTCGCTTGAACCCAGGAAGTAGAGGTTGCAGTGAGCCAAGGTCATGCCACTGCATTCCAGCCTGGGCAACAGAACTAGACTCTTACCTCAAACAAACAAACAAACAAATGCATGAAAAAAAACCATTTTGTTGTCTTCTGACTTGCACAGTTTCTAACTAGAAGTCTGTGATCATTTTTACCTGCCTGTCCTTTAGAGTTTCTTATCACCGATTTTCAGAAATGCTTTACTGGGCATGGAGGTGAAGGTATTTGTTATTTACATATGCTTATCTTGCTTTAGCTTCTGGATTTTCTTGGAACTGAGTATATAATTTCCATTAAATTTGACAGATTTTGGTTATTATTTCTTTAAATTAAAAAAAAAAAAAACCACCTTTTTTTTTCCTTGAGAAGGAGCCTCGCTCTGCCGCCCAGGCTGGAGTGCAGTGGTGCGATCTTGTCTTGGCTCACTGCAACCTCTGCTTCCCAGGTTAAAGTGATTCTCCTCTCTCAGCCTCCCGAGTAGCTGGGACTATAGGCACCCACCACCATGCCTGGCTAATTTTTTGTATTTTCAGTCGAGACAGGGTTTCGCCATGTTGTCCCGGCTGGTTTCGAACTCCTGAGCTAATCTGCCCACCTTGGCCTCCCAAAAGTGCTGGGATTACAGGTGTGAGCCACCACACCCCACCTATTTCTTCAAATGTTTTTTCAGACACACTTCTCACCCTGCTCCCTGACCCACCTTTTTTTTTCTTGGGCTCCAATTTCAGGTATGTAGGACCATCTAATTTAATCCCACAAGTGAGGGACTCACTTCATTTTTTTCCCAGTCTTTTTTCCTCGCTGTTACTTATTATGGACATATCCTACTGCTATGCCCTCAAATATACGGATCTTTTCCTCTACTCTTTTTTTTTTTGAGATGGAGTCCTGCTCTGTTGCCTAGGCTGGAGTCCAATGGCGTGATCTCAGCTCACTGCAACCTCTGCCTCCCAGGTTCAAGCCATTCTCCTGCCTCAGCCTTTGAGTAGCTGGGATTACAGGCGCACATCACTGTGCCTGGCTAATTTTTTTTGTACTTTCAGTAGAGACAGAGTTTCCACATGTTGGCCAGGCTGGTCTCAAACTCCTGACCTCAGGTGATCCACCCACCTTGGCCTCCCAAAGTGCAGGGATTACAGGTGTGAGCCACCACACCTGGCCTCTGTTCTTTTTCATATCTTCCACTTCTCTCTTCATCTGTGCATGTTTCCCTTCACATACTTAAGCACAGAGATCATATTACATCATTGTATACTAATTCCATCATTTCTATCCGTTCTAGGTCTGCATCTATTGACTGATTTTTCCCCTGGTTATAGGTGACATTTTCCTCCTTCTTCATTGTCTAGTAATTTTTTTTTTTTTTTTTTTTTTGAGACGGAGTTTCGCTCTTGTTACCCAGGCTGGAGTGCAATGGTGCGATCTCAGCTCACCGCAACCTCCGCCTCCTGGGTTCAGGCAATTCTCCTGCCTCAGCCTCCTGAGTAGCTGGGATTACAGGCACGTGCCACCATGCCCAGCTAATTTTTTGTATTTTTAGTAGAGACGGGGTTTCACCATGTTGACCAGGATGGTCTCGATCTCTTGACCTCGTGATCCACCCGCCTCGGCCTCCCAAAGTGCTGGGATTACAGGCGTGAGCCACCGCGCCCGGCCTTGTCTAGTAATTTTTAATTGTATGCCAGATTATGTATATTATCAATTCCTATATTTTGCTGTATTCCTTTAAAAATTATTACTTTGATTTGACAAGTAGGTAAGCTACTATGTTACTTATCTGCGCTTCATGACAAATTACTCCAAATCTTTAGTGGCTTAAGACAATCCATTTATGATCTCATAGTTCCTGTGGATCAGAAAGCTTAGCTGAGTGCCTCCAGCTCAAGGTCTGGCACAAGGAGGCAATGAAGTCATCAGCAGGGCTGCAGTTATCTTGAGGATTGACTAGAGGAAGATCTGCTTCCAAGCTCATCTACATGGCTGCTGGCAAGCGTCAGATCTGTTCCCACACTTACTAATGTGGGCCTCTCTGCAGGGCTGGCTCACAATATGGGAACTGGGCTTCCCCAGAGGAAGTGGCTCTAAATGATAGCAAGAGGGAGCATTCAAGGCAGAAACAAAGCTTTTTATAACTGCATTTTACAAGTGATAACCTTATCCCACTACTTCTTTTGCTTTGCCATATTCACTGGAAGCAAATCACGAACTGTAGCCAACATTCAACAACAGCAAATTACACAAGCAGCGACTGCTACCAGTTGGGGAATCACTGGGGAACATTTTAGAGGCTGCCTACTACAGCTACTTAGGAATCTCCTTGGTCCTTCTGCATCTTTTTTTTTTTTTTTTTGAGACAGAGTCTCCCTCTGTTGCCCCGGCTGGAGTGCAGTGGTGTGATCCCGGCTCACTGCAATCTCCGCCTCCTGGGTTCAAACAATTCCCCTGCCTCAGCCTCCTCAACAGCTGGGACTACAGGTGTGCATCACCACACCCGGCTAATTTTTTGTATTTTAGTAGAGATAGGGTTTCACCACATTGGCTAGGATGGCCTCCCTCTCCTGACCTTGTGATCCGCCCGCCTTGGCCTCCCAAAGTGCTGGATCACAGGCGTGAGCCACCGCACCCAGCCCTTCTGCATCTTAAAGTTCTGTTAGCGCAGATCTAGAATAGTATTTACTCTGAGGCTATTTAGTTCTATAATACTTTCAGATGTAGTCCTTTAGGAGTCTACACTGAATGCCATCTATTCATAGAGGTCTCTCCACAGTGGCTGGTGGGAACACAAATGATTCCCTGCCCTAGGTAAACTACCTGGAAGTGTTAGCCTAATAGCTCCCTGTTCCTGGAAATTGTTCCTGGAAAATTATTCTTGCCCAGCCTTGTGGGGTTTCACCCCATGCATGTACAGATTGGTATTCAGGCAAAGACCCAAAGGGATGCCTATGTAGATTTCTATACTCCTTTCTCTATGCAGCTCCCTCCTCCCAGTATCTGCCCTGCAAATTCAAGCAGTATCATTTTCCTTGAATATTTTGTGTCTACTCAGATCTAGTTGGTTTTCCCTTCCCTGCTCCAATGTAGGTTCATCCTCCCTGCACCACCATCTGGAAATTGCCTCCAGCAAAAGACTGTGAGGCGCAGTAGGATTTACCTCATTTTAAAATTCTTGTTCAGGATCACAGCTTTGTACAATGTCTGAAAATAACTGCTTCCTATATTTTGTCCATCTTTCTATTAATAGTTGTTTGTGACAGCAGAATAATCCAGCCTGTTACTCTCACATAGCTAGGAGTAGAATTCCTCCCCAGGGAGTTTTGAAAACCTAATGATCCCAATCCTGGGCCCTAGTCCCCAGAGATTCTGGTTTACCAGGATGAGGTCTCAGAGTTTTACGTGTTTAAAAACTCTCCACATCATTTTTATATGCAATTAGGTTTGAGAAGCACTGTATAACCTAATCATGTACTATAAAGCTACTGAATATAGCTCACAATTATTAGTTTTTTGCAACTTATAGAAATGTGTTTTTCCACCTCCTATCTTTGCAAAGATTTACAAAGTGATTTACATTAAATGTCAACTGATAAAACACCACTTAAAGAAAGTTCATCTTATTTGAAGTTTATTACATTTGGCATCTTTATTTTGCTTTTATCTGTATCTTCAGAACTTTAGATGAAGTTTGATGAATAGAGAGCACATAAAAAAGTATTAAATCAGCTAGGCGCTGTGGTTCATGCTTGTAATCCCAGCACTTTGGGAGGCTGAGGTGGTAGATCGCCTGAGGTCAGGAATTTGAGACCAGCCTGGCCAACATGGTAAAATCCTGTCTCTACTAAAAATACAAAAATTGTGTGGTGGTGTACACCTGTAATTCCAGCTACTTGGAGGCTGAGAAGTAAGAATCACTTGAAACCAGGAGATGGAGGTTGCAGTGAGCTGAATCACGCCACTTCACTTCAGCCTGGGCAACAGAGTGAGACTCCGTCTCACACACACAAAAAAAAAGGTCATTAAATTGGATAGGTGGAATACAGTATTCCCTTCCCTTCTTTTTAGGTTACGACATAATGCCAGGTGGTGGCTCATGCCAGTAATTCCAGCACTTTGGGAGGCCAAGGCAGGTGGATTGCCTGAGCTCAGGTGCTCAAGACCTGCCTGGGCAACATAGTAGAACCCTATCTTTATCAAAACACAAAAAATAGCTGGCACACGCCTGTGGTCCCAGCTACTTGGGAGGCTGAGGTGGGAGGACTGCTCAGGCCTAGGAGGCAGAGGTTGTACAGCGAGCTGAGATTGTGTCACTGTACTCCAACCTGGGTGACAGAGTGAGACCCTGTCTTGGGGAGGAAAAAAAAAAAAGACATAACATCTTGTATATGCATGCAAAGGCAAAGCCACTAACTCACAACAATATAAATGCACAGGGAGCACACTAGTAAACACAGCACAAATGTCTCAACTCCAAATGAAAATGCTCCGCAACACCATTATTTTAGGGAAGAGGTGTAGCCAAGGCTACCCTGTATCACAGGATAATGGGTTTTAGGCCATATTTCCTTTGGCTGCTCTCACCTATGTGGAAATACTCTGCCCTCAGCTACACTATCCAAAAGTGGCTGAATAAAATGCACAATGAGGAGCCTCTTGAGCACTACGGAATAACAGCCCTCTGCCCCGCTTCTCAACTGCATTCTGCAATGGTACAGAAGAGCTACTTTTGAAACTGGTTTATAATGGATCAGTAATGACTTGTGCTGGACCTGTTACAAAACAGCCCTCAAGAATCACACTTCTCTGAATTCATGCCTTGTGCATCCCTTCCACTCTGAATCAGAGCTGCCCTGTGACTTGCCTGGACTAAAATAGCAAGACAGAAGTGTCACTATCCAACTTCCAAGCTTAGGTGCTCAGAGGCATTGCTAACTTTGATCTTCAGTCTCTTAGAGCTGGAGATACCATGCTGTGAAGGAGCCTGAGAAGACAAATCACATGGAGAAAGCGGCCCAGGAATCCCGCTGAGCCCAGGCCCCATCCCACCCTCTCTGTGAATGCAACTGCCGGATGGGCCCAAGAAAGCCAGCAAAGAACTGCCTAGTCAACTAACTCAGAAATGTGAAAACCAATACAATTGTTATTTTAAGCCACTAAGTTCTGAAGTGATTTGCTATGCAGTAAAGGCTGAGACATGGCAACCACATATTCTACTTAGAGACACCTCTGTGTCTTACTGTAGTGACTAAAGTCACTAAAGCCAGACAGTCTAGCTTTGAACCCCAGCTCCCTCACTTAACTGCATGAACCTCAGCAAGTTACTTAACCTTTCTGGGCCTCAGTTACCACATGTGAAAAATATAGATAAGAACAGCACCTAATACCCAAGAGTTGTAAGGATTAAATGAGTTAACATTATAAAGTATTCAGAACAGTGTAGAACACATAGCAAGTGTTATTATTAGAGTCTAACAGAATAACACAATTTACACCTATATAATTTATATCAATTAAAGATATTTACAGTATTTTAGAATCAAATTCTAGATACCTCCCTACTGAGGCAGTCATTTACCCATCTAATACAGGTGTAAATGACTATGAAGAAAAGGCCTTAACTTTCAGATTCTGAGGCCCTAAGAGCCTCCTGTGGTTCCAGGCACTCACCTGCATAGGGGATACAGCTGCTGCAGGAGGGGTTTTCATAGGACTTGGACTCAAGGGTGTTCGAGGAATTGCAGCTGCAGCAGGGTTTGGTACTACGAAAACAACAAACAAAAAAGGAAATAATGTCACTGTATAGTGGAAGCTTAACTGGATTCCACTTAAGGACTCACCAGACTAACCAATGCTTTCAAATCCCCTTGGACACTGTCTTGGCTGATGTCTAACCTCTGCTACACAAGGTTAGCAGCCATGTCTTAGCACACTGGTACTTTTCCGCCCATCAGGTGAAAGAGTAGTCATGGTTATTTCCAACCCTGGTTATGGCAGTCGTTTCATTTTTGTTATTTAATTACATTACATAGTTAAAGTGCTCCATAAAGCAATGAAATTCAAGTATTAAAACCCAAGAGGAGTATTTACATAACTGTATCAGTTAAGAAGCCTGGCATGTAAACGGCGTTCAATAGTTGCATATTAAACAAAAGAATGAGGGTCGGGCGTAGTGGTTCACGCCTGTAATCCAAGCACTCTGGAGGCCAAGGTGGGCAGATCACCTGAGGTCAGGAGTTCAAGACCAGCCTGACCAACATGGTGAAACCTCATCTTTAAAAAATAAAAATAAAAAAATAAAAGAATGAGGAACTCCTGCTTGTCTTCCCTCAATTCCTCCTGTAGAGTCCATCACTTCACATTTATTTTACGATTTGTATTTAACGCAGGGATGTGTAATCACTTGTTTGCATTATCAGCCTCCTTCTCCAGAATAAACTGCTGAAAAGTAGTTTATGTTTTTAGAATGTATTAATTTCTAGATGGTTGGGGATAGCACAGCTTCTGGTAAAGGCTGCAAAAACGATTATTCATTTGATGCTGAATTAAATTAAAAATAGGATACAAAAATGAACTCAAGCCTATTACAGTGTGGCAAGATGAAGCAGATCACTGTGGACTTTTTTAATGTAGCCAATATAAACACAAATATATATACTTATATTTAGAATTGATATATTTAGATGTATTCTTATTTACTGAGATAAAATTCACGAAACAAAGTTAACCATTCAAAAATGTACAGTATAGTGGCATTTAGTACAGTCACATTATGGTGCAACCATCACTTTTACCTAGTTTCAAAACATTTTCATCATTCCAAAAAGAAACCCCAAAAGTCACTTCCCACCCACTGTCTCATCAGCCTCTGGCAATCTGCTTTCTGTCTCTATGGACTGACCTAGTGTGAATATTTAATGTAAATGGAATCTTACAATACGTGACCTGTTATGTCTGGCTTCTTTCAATTAACATAATGTTGTAAAGATTCATCCATGTTGAAGCATATGTTACTACTTCATTCTTCTTGTGGCTGAATAATATTCCATTGTACGGATATACCACATTTTGTTTATCAATTCATTGAATGCATGGATACTTGGGTTGCTTCTATCTATTAGCTATTGTGAAAAGAGCTGCTATGAAAATTTATGTACAAGCACAGATGTTTCTCAATTTATGATGGGACTTTGTTCTCATAAACCCATCATAAGCCAGTCAAAAATGCATTTAATACACCCAACCTCCCAAACATCCCAATTTAACCTAGCCTACCTTAAACCAGATCAGAACATTTACATTAGCTACAGTTAGGCAAAATCATCTAACATAAAGCCTATTTTATAATAAATAGGCTGTGTTGAATATCTCAAGTAATTTACTGAATACTGTACTGACTATGTATCACTGACACTACTGTAAAGTCAAAAAAAAAAGTTAAAGCATTGTTAAGTCAGGGACTGTATTTGTCTGATTATCTACTTTCAGTTCTTTTGCATATATAATTAGAATCGGAATTGCTGGGTCATTCACATATATTTTATTATAAAATAACATATGAGGCTTTAAAAAAAGATTAGTATGAAGCAGCTTTGTGCATTAAAGCATGCTTTATTAATATTCTGAATAGGTGTATAATTTTAATTTAATGTAGACATTCCATTATCATTTTGATTTTCAAAGCATATGTACATTTTATTCTTTAGACACAGAGTCTTTGTCCAAGCTGGAGTACAGTGGCTATTACCAGGTATGGTGATAGCATGCTACTGCCTTAGCCTCCTAAGTAGCTGGAACTATAGGCACTTGTCAGCTCAAAGCATATATATTTTAAAGTTTTCCTTTCATCTTACTCCATCATATTACCCAGAGGTGGCCACTAACAACAGTTCTGGGTACATCTTTCTTGCACTTTAAATGCAAATACACTTAGTTATCTATATACCTTAAAAAAAAAACAACGACAACAAAATAAGACCACACACACTATATACATATATATATATGTACTGGTCTGTAACTTGCTATAAAAGATTGCAGAGCACAGAGCGACTGCTCAGGTGGCACACTTGAATAAAGGATCACAGACATGTTTTAACATCAGTACTCTGAGATCTATGTCATCCTTATTAAAATATGCATAGTATTTTACTGTATTAATTGGTCATAATTGTCTTAATTCCTTTAATAGGCATTTAAGCAATTTCTAGGTGTTCCATTTCTTCAAACAATGCTATACTGAAAACTCTGTATAAGTATATATCTTTATATGTAATACTTGTGCCAGTATTAAGTATAACAACTTCAGAGCCTATGAATATGGCATTTTAAATCGGAGGATATTGTCTAACGGTCCTCCAGCATGTCTATATTAGCAATGTGTGGGAGTACACATGTGACTTTTCCTCTGCTTTTAAGTCAAAGAAAATTTGTTTGTGTATAATCACAAAATACAGATTCTAGTAGCCTGTTAATAAATTTTAAAGACTTTCTAGATAAAAACTTAAGCTTTAGGACATATTACAATAAATTGTTTGAAAAAACTACATACCCTTTCCTTTCCCAGAGCTGAGAAAGTTAGGGAGATGACAAAAAGTCAAGTCATTTCAAAGTGGGGAGAGTAAGCCTTCTAGAGCTTGTATGAAAGAAAGCCCAGCGTGATTCAGAACGTGAAGTGCCATGTAGGACTACAGAGCAAGTGGCGGAAGAGTGGTTCAACTGAGGCAAAAGGTAGGCAAGGGTCAGACTTTTGGGAATTAAGCAATTAGAGGATTTTAAACAAGAAAAGATATTTCTATCATGGGATCAAAAAGGGAGATTAATTTGGAGGTTACTGGAACCAGTGGTTGATGGTAGCTTGAGCTAAAGCTTGTCCTGCTAGAGATGGAGAGAAGACAGAGCAAAGATATCCATGATGCAGGCTGTATCAACAGGGTTTGCTCATAATGGAGTAGATGTAGCAATAAGAAAAAGAATTTAAGAAAGATCCCCAGACTTTTGGCTTAAGTAACTGGGTGGAATGGTGCTGCCATTTATACATGGTGAAAGGCTGCAGCTGGCAGACAAGGATTTGGTTTTTGGACGTTACATGTCCAAGAGACACCTCAAGGTCCATGTCAAGTAGGCATCTGGATATACATGACTGAGGAATTCAGAGGAAGGGAAGAGCTAAAGTCATACATCTGGAAGTTCTTAGGCACAGAGAAGACACTTAAAATAACAGGAATGTGGATGATCCACTGAGGGAGAGAAGACACATCTCTGCATGGGATTAAGGCTTCTGTCTGAGACTAACACCTCTGAAGCTGAAGAGACCCCAAAGTTCCTATTAAATATCACTTTCCGTTAAGTCTAGTGCATTAATCCTATATGAAAGTTAATGGGACTAAGAGTAAGACAGTAAAGAATATCAAACTAGACCAGAGAACACATGGTAAGTGAACACAACCACGTGCAGTAGGCACAATGCAGGAGAAATTAATTACCTTGAGATGCACTGTCAAAGGACTTGATGAGGGTTTTTACTGTAGGAGTTGGCTCTGAGGAAGTGGAGGACCTTCTACTCAGTCCCATTCCCTGCCGTAAGGCTGCCAAATCTCTCTCAACAGCATTCATGTAATTGTATACCCGGCCTCGTTCCTCCTCTTGCCTGAAAACAATATTGAAATCCAAGCATTTTTATATGTGTAGGAGAAAATACACATTTCCACCTCCCAGCTGAAAAGCATTAAAAAGTATCAGTTTAAAAAAAATTGTATCAGTTCAGCTTAGTAAATTACCTGGGCTAATGTTCTCATTTGCTTGGTAAATACCAGGAAATGAGACTGAAATTTTTCTATCAGGTTATACTAAGTAAGTTAAGCAACCATCAAATTCCATTTTCATCTGAGTAAGTGTAAGGTAAGGACATCAGTAATCAATTAGCAGTAAAACAGGAGGTGGACTGGCTCAGAGCTGAGACTCTCCAGGTCCTATGCTCCCGAGTAGGCCCTTCTCAGGAGTCTGGATATTCACCAATAAATGATACTGTATAATTATAATTTATACTGGCTCTAGCTAATATGCCATGCTTAGACTGGGAAACACAAAAATGAAACCAAAGCTCACACTCTTTTGAAAAAAAAATAAATAAATAAAAACAAGGAAAGTGCTGTAGACTTCAAACAGAAATCTACGAAGAAAAAAAAAAGCTTAGACTCACATTAGTAACATAAGTCCCCCAGAAGCTCAGTGTGATGAATCCTGAGTCATCTGGAAAAATCAATTCCATTTCATTTCTGGCCCATTCTAATTCACTGTGCTGACTAACACAGAATTCTTTCATCTGCAATGAGACTGCAATTGCAGAGTTTGTACATGTCATATAACTATCAAGCATGTGAATAAAAATTAAGCCTTAGGAAAAAATCTGTCTTTGGTGGCCATTTGGCTCTTCTGACAGCCTTTTGCCTCAAGATGTGCCACAGGATCTTCAGGTCATTTAGCTGTCATAATTAGAACTTTTAATAAAGAATCTTCTATAACAATGATTATCAAACATTTTGATCTTAGAGACCCTTTCTACTCCTAAAAATAAGGACCCCAAAAAGCTCTTGTTTATGGGAGCTGTCTTCCACTACATTAAATTAAAACTAAGAATATATAAAAATATTTACTTCATATAAAAATAAAGATAAACACAGGGCTTATTAATTTTTATGAAAAATGACTATAGTTTCCAAAACAAAAAATTAGTAACAGTGCTTTGCATTTCTAAATCAGCTCTTTAATGTCTGACTTAAGAGAAAACAGCTAAACTCTCCTTTGTATTCAAACTATGTTGATATGAAAAAAAGCAAGTCTTACATAGATAAGGTAGGTGGAAAAGGGAAGATTTTAATAGCCCTTTTAGAGAACTGTGGCTATTCTTCCACACTGCACTAAAACACAAGTAGTGCCTTAAAAGTTAGTTCCAATGTGGAATCTGAAACCATAAGTGAACTTTTCCTATTCTGTCCAGTGGATTACTGGACAATCTTGTTTAACATCATAGACTGGTCATAAGGAAAACATTGGTTCACTGAGTTACACAGGTTTTCTAAATGCTGTCATTATACATTTTTTTAAAGTCATAATGATCTCCTCAGAAGACACTTTATGGGAAGCTGCCAAACTCACCATTGGTAAATACAAGTTTTCCAAAATCCTAACTTTCACTTGAAAGCCCCCATTTTATCACCGGCAACAAATACCATTGGTTGTTTTCCTTTAAGTGACAGGCTGTCTTAATTGTTTTCACAAAATATCCACCAAATAGTCAGGTGCAGTGGCTCATGCCTGTAATCCTAGCACTTTGGGAGGCTGAAGCAAGCAGATCACCTGAGGTCGGAAGCTCGAGACCAGCCTCACCAACGTGGAGAAACCCCATCTCTCCTAAAAATACAAAATTAGCCAGGTGTGGTAGCGCGTGCCAGTAATCCCTGCTACTTGGGAGGCTGAGGCAGGAGAATCGCTTGAACCCGGGAGATAGAGGTTGCGGTGAGCTGAGATAACGCCATTGCACTCCAGCCTGGGCAACAAGAGTGAAACTCCATCTCAAAAAAAGAAAAAAAAAAAAAAAAAAAAAAAAAATCCACCAAGTAATACTGAAGCCTGAATGACCCAAAATTTGTCTGTGATTCTCAAGTAAAAAATGGCAGTCCATGAAAAAAGAAAGCAGTTCAAACTAAAATAATCACAGCACTTTCCTCAACATGACCTCACTCTTCAGTACGGTCTTGAGTATAGCAGATAATGCAGAAGTGCTTTTTCTGTACTTCCCATTTTGTCACCCAGAATGCTAAAGAGTATATTCAAGGACCAGGATTTAGTAAAATAAATAGTGTTTCACCAAGGACATCTTTAAGTGAAACCTGCGTTTTAAAAAAAATGCAAGTATGTGATGGTGAAGAGTACAATGACTATGAGAGCAACTGCCGAGACCTTGATTCATCAAACAGTTTTCACTTGCTTTTCACTCCCAGTTTAGAAGTCAACACAGTGAAAAGGGCAACAACATGATGGTGTTACAAAGACAGTTTGACCTCACAGACTCCCTAAAGGGCCTTAGGGACATCCAGGAATCTGCAGGCCTTGCTCTGAGAACCACTGCTCTACAAGATGCTACCTCTTTCTGAAGGCATTTTTAAAAACATGTGTCTCAAAATCTTAGGAATTTTTAAGATCCAAAGCAATAAAACTTTAACAGTAGAATTTTATTTACTCAGGATAACTAAAGAATGAAGCATTTCTAATATGTTATTCATTTAATAATATAAAGAAAAAAAGGTAATGTAATACACATTTTTTACCAGTAGAGAAAAAATAATCTTCTGTCTCATTCCATCTTCTGCTTAAGGAATCCAATGAAAAATGATTAGCAATGCTTTTCTCTGGGCCATTCACTAGAGCAAGCCAATAATGAGACCATTTTTTAAAGATATACTGTTAGTTTTCTAAATTTCTTCCTATGCCTACTTAAGAATTACTCAAGCTAAGGAATAAACAAATTCTGAATAATAACCTCAAATATGAAAATACTTTCCTCTACTTTTAGATGGAGTCTCAGTGTGGAGCTCAGAGCATGTCACAAATGTCATTTCATCTGATAATTTTCATCAGTTTCCAATTATCTCTATGTTACACGGGAAAAAACCACTGCGGAAATTCATGTGATTATAAGTTAAAACAAGTGAAAATTCCTCAAGTGAGTGATAGAGAAAAAGTCACTTTGCATTCTTTACTTGGGTCTCCAAAAATACTAGCTAAAGTATACTGATCATTGCTCTGAGTACTTGGGAGGCTTTTATCTTATTTAATCCTTATGACAACTGTACAGCAGGTAGTATTGTGTCACTTTAAAGATGAGAAAACTGAGGCCCAGGAAAGTGAAGGTTCCTGACCAAGGTCACAGCTAGTAAGAAGCAGAGCTGGGGCCAGGCGCGGTGGCTCACGTCTGTAATCCCAGCACTTTGGGAGGCTGAGGTGGGTGGATCACGAGGTCAAGAAATCGAGACCATCCTGGTCAACATGGTGAAACCCCATCTCTACTAAAAATATAAAAAATTAGCTGGGCATGGTGGCACATGCCCGTAATCCCAGCTACTCGGGAGGCTGAGGCAGGAGAATTGCCTGAGCCCAGGAAGCGGAGGTTACGATGAGCAGAGATCGCACCATTGCACTCCAGCCTGGGTAACAAGAGCGAAACTCCATCTCAAAAAAAAAAGAAAAGAAAAAAGAAACTCCGTCTCAAAAAAAAAAGGAGAGCTGGACACGAACCAAGACCATCTGTCTCCAGAGTCATCCTTAATCATGAGGCTACAATATAAAGAAAATTAACAGGGCTGGAATGCGGGACTCGGGAAAGGGAGAATCACGTGAGACCATCCTGGTTCCCTCCAGAGTTGTGAATCACTGATACTGACAGAAAGATCCACATAGACAGCACTAGTTTACATATGCCATAAAATGAGGCCTAGAAAAGCTGAGTAACTTCCATCAGATCCAAACTTAGTGTCAAACTCCACATTTTTTGCATAGTACCACATCAAAAATTGGGATTTAAATGTTCTCTACTAAAACATAAGTACACAACTGGTTTCTCAGAACATACTTGCGTGACTTTATTTCCTCCAATTCTTTTGTGAGTTTCTCATTTTTTTCTTGAGCCTCATGTAACCGGCGCTTTAGATCACCAATCTCCTCTTGAGCTTCAGATTTAATGTCATTTGCAATGACTACTGCAGTCTGGAGATCAGCCTGAAACTGCCGCCATTCTGCAGATTCTTCCTATATTAAAAAAACTAACTTTTAATTTTTTATTTAAAAGCAATAAAATTTGTTTATGATTGGATAGCTATAATGCACTAATGCTTCCAAATGATGATTAATTTTTTTAATCCCAGAGAATTGCTATTATCTAACAGGCAATGCAACTATTATTAGTGAATTTTTTCTTAATAAGGAAAAGATTCTCTAGCTATCTGCCTACTGAGGCATCAGGCACTCAGAGTGCTCAACAGATATTAATGATGATAATGTCAAGCCTCCCTTCTTCATGCAAGTTTCAAAGCAAGTCTTATGAACATAAACATAATTGAGAATTTATGGAGCTTTACTTCTGAAAAGCACAAGAAGGTATATAAATGGTATGTGAACCATACAGTGAAAAACTATAAATATCCTGACATCAAAACCTAACAGGAAAAAAAAATCAAAAGAAAAGGAAAAGGAAGAGGAAGCCAGAAGAAAAACACTAAACTCAATACAGACAGGCAAAATTATACAAAGAGATGGTGAGGAACTGCATGGTCTGTTGCTTCCCACAGCCATGGAGGATGCGGGTGTGGCTGGGTGGGGAAGTCTCCCTGGGCCTCATCTCCATCAGAGCCACAGCTGGGCCATGCCTGAGCCTCACACGTTCACACCCTCACACCCCTAAAGCAATTTTGTAACATCATGAAAGTAGCCTAGGCAACTGTGGCATGACCCAAACGATTGAGTAGCTTTCTCCCCACCCCCTGCATCATAGCTGCATTGCTGCTGGCAAGACGGATCATATGGACAAAATAAAGAAAACAGGTATGAAAACAAACTGGTTTGGGCACCTTATAATCAACAGCTAATAATCTTTCTTTACAAAATAGTACACTTTTTCCCCGAATCTATCTTTCTAAAATTACTACCCATAAATTTCTACAGGTCGAGTATCACTCATCCAAAAAGCATTTCAGATTTAAGATGTTTTGGATTTTGGAATATTTGCACTATACTTAACAGCTAAGCATCCCAAATCTGAAAATCCAAAATCCAAAATGCTCCAATAAGCATTTCCTTTGAGCATCATGCCATCACTCAAAGAGTTGTGAATTTTGGAACATTTTAGATTTCAGAATTTCTGGTTAGGGATACTCAACCTATAGTACATTCGTACATTCTTCTACCCAAAATCTAGCATCAGTCTCAATTTGAAATGATAACATTTGCTTTCTGCCCAAAGCCCAATGGGGCCAGTATTATCACTGTATCTAAAGCTTAAGATGAATGATTACACGGTCAATGACTACACCACAAATTTCAGAAAACTTTTCTAACAATACATGAAGATTTATCCTACCCGAAGTCTTCTGTGGAGAGTCTTTATTTCTCTTTCCATGTCGTGCTTCTGGTCCTGGAGTTTTTTAACTGTATCTGAAAAGACCACCAAAGTTTAAGTATTTACTCTCACAACAATGTTCAAAGGAATGCTATAAAGAAAAGAGGTACTTAAATATGACATTGGAAAAAAGTTATCCTGTCCAAAGACTGCAAAAAATTTTAATACAAAACTTTAATAGAAAAAATATTCAATCCAAATAATAACCAATATTACTTTCTTTGGAAAATATCAAGTTAAAAATCACAATTTCTAAATCACCTCCTTCCACAATATCTTAATTCTGAAACAAAATATAAAGGATTTCTAACAACCAATCAAAACAACATTGACTGTGACTAAAATATGAACTTTTAATCATAAGCATTATTAATCTGCAGTATTTATATAAGCATATCTTTCTTTATACACTAGAATAAATTCCAGAAAAGTAGTGAATTAGTAAAATCAAAATTAGTAAAAAATATAACACCCAGGGGAGCTGCTATTTAAATTAATCCTACAAGATATTTTTAAATAATTTATAAAGTAATCAATAATTCCTCAAATTACTCATCACATAATATGAATTTTCTTAAAACAGTTTCATTCTCTCTAAAAACATTCAATGAGTACCAGTAAGATACAAAGTACCATTCTAGATAGAGTGAGGATACAAGGATGAAAGTGCAGCACGGGCCAGTGTCCCTGAAACCAGAATCCTAAAGGGAAGTCACTTTCTCTTTGGACGTTCTACTTTAGAATCCACACATAAGAGAGAAATGCCTTAGGAGGGTACTATGCTGACAGGTGCCACTAAGTAAACCTTTCACAGCTGGTTCCTTTGACAGCTCAGGAACCAATCACTTTTTGGTTAAGGGCAAGGAAGGGTACTTACAACTAGTGGCGAATCCTTACTCTGATTCACCTACAGCCCCACCCCAGTAGATCCCTGGCTTTTCTCTGTGTTCCAACTCTGTCTCACAAGGCCTTGTATCATGTTGCCACCAACATTACCACATCTCTTTATACACCTGTCTCGACCACTAGACTAAAAACACTTCAAAGGCAGAAGAAGCCATGTGATGACCTCACACATGCAGCAGCTGAAATGTGGCAGGTCTTTAAAATGGAATAAATGTATAAATGTGCAGGCTAATGGTAGCATAATAAAAAGCAATGCTGAAATCATCACCTAGGTGTTTTTTTGTTTTGTTTTGTTTTAAGTAAGTATCCTATTGACAGAACTTAACAATTTGTCATCAGGGACAGTATAACTTTAAACATTAGTGTTTCTGGGTAAATAACATTTTCTCCCATTCCATATACTTGGCAGAAGGAACTCAGGCATAGTGAATACCTGCTTGTAGTGGCACATGTAATCAAAAAATTCTTCCTGTAGCTAATCATTTATTGGCTTTTAATCAAGACCCTAAAGTATGAGTATACTGATATTTTTTCTGAGATGGCTCATTATCTTCCTTATCCTTGTTCCACTAGAACCTTCTCTTCTAAAATCTTTTTGCCACTCTACATCTGATGCTGGTATATATTTTTAAATGGCATGCATTCACTTTAACGATATAGAGCCTTGAATATTTATAACAATTATATGTGGAATAACAATTATTACAATTATACAAATAATGCTGTATTTACTAAAGCTGGATCAGAAATAAATGAGATAAAATGTTGGTAGCAGGGGCAATTCTGGTAGCTAGTAGTTAACTTGCTCCCATTCATTGCCCCAAAACTGTGTTAACAAAGTCAGGTCCTGTGAAATAAAAAGGGTTCAAAATTTACTCTTTAATTCTTCAAATGTGTCATATGTACCAACTTTGTACCAGGCTTTCTTGAAAGTGCTTAAGAAGAAAAGGAAAAAGACATAATCTTCATCCTCTTAGAGACAAAAAGGCTAGTCTTATGCTGAGACAACAAAGGTAGATGACTTCATAAGCAAAGGATTAAACTTTAAAGCCTGTCTCAAATATAAGCTACTTCAGACTCAACCTGCAAACTAAGAGTCAAACAGGCCATCCAGTCTGGTTTGGGTAAAGCAGACACCAAGCTGAGTGGGTGAGTCTATGCCCCCTGATCCTGACCTCTGGAGGCAAAGATGGTTCTGGAATCAGCAAGGGAACTTGACTCCTTGTGACTACACATATACAAATTCAGGGTTTTGGACATAGATGAGGAATAAGAACAGAAGCTGAAATTTTTCTAATGTTGAAAACACTAGGGTTACACCTTTCGTTTATACTGTATCCATTTATATGCAAGAAATATTTCATAATCAAAACAGGTGGCCAGGCATGGTGGCTTAGGCCTGTAATATCTACCAATCACCTGAGGTCAGGAGTTCGAGACCAGCCTGGTCAACATGGTGAAACCCTGTCTCTACTATAAATACAAAATTAGCCAGGCGTGATGGCAGGTGCCTATAATCCCAGCTACTCAGGAGGCTCAGATGGGATAATCACTTGAACCCAGGAGGCAGAGGTTGCAGTGAGCCGAGTATGGTGCTACTGTACTCCAGCCAGTGCAACAAGAGCAAAACTCCATCTCAAAAAAAAAAAAAAAAAAAAAAAAAAACAACAACAACAAAAAACAGGTAAGCAAAAAATGTTAGGAGTGTAATTTCTCTTGAAATTTGCTAAAAAAAAAATTGTTTTCATTTTCTGGTCACAAAGGACACATCTACTTATTGTTAAACATAATACACACAAGACAAACGACAGCAAAGCTCACCTTTAACGTTTGGCATTTTGATTCTCAGGTGACATTTTAAGCTACATGGCCATCTTAGACTGATCATAAATTCTGAATTTCATTCACTTATTTTGTTCTTTTTCTCTTTATTAACCTTTTCATTCATGGCCACAGAATTCACGTAATCACGATTCTTTAGAAGGTGTTTTTCTGTCCCCTGTCACTACATATTTATTATTGTCACTTCTTATAAATAATAAATAAACAAAATCCTTTTAAATAAAAGAGAAACTGGCAGCCAGTGGAAATACTCAGACAGAATAAAGTGCACTAAAAGTGTCTCTAGGGAATTAGATTTAAACTTTACAATCATGCCTATATTTTTACTCTGAAACAGAATGTATTATTGTTTGCCTGGAAACAAAGGAGTTCGAGCTTAAGTTCTTGTTGTGAATACTAGTTTACAAAACTGCCATCTAGCACGATTTGTGGTCACACAAGAAAGCGGCATTACTCTTTGACTCTCAAGCCTCAAATGGCAGTTTCCTTCCTCTTCAGTGTTTCTACCGTGAGGGACACTGCCATCTACTGTCTTCAACTCAAAATCAACATTTGAGCCACCAAGGAGAACTACTACAATACTACAATCTTCCTATTTTAAAACTATAAATTATAACTCAATTTCTACAATGTTATTTTTATTCTAGACATCAGGCAAACTGCTAGTCTCAATGTTATTAGACCAACTTTGTTCTGAACAACTCTGGGCACTGCCCTACCCATTTAACAAGTAATTCATAACCTTTGAGCCCCATTCTTGATTATGAACCCCATTATTCTCTGACAAATAAAAAACAATCCATCCTTGCTCTGGTTATATGCCCATCAATCATGCTGACATTACTAGGCAGGTACCATGGACACAGGATCAATTTGTGACTTTTTCTTCTGTTTTGAGATGGAGTCTCACTCTGTCGCCCAGGCTTGAGTGCAGTGGCACGACCGTAGCTCACTGCAGCCACCGCCTCCTGGGTTCAAACAATCCTTCCACCTCAGCCTCCCAAGTAGCTGGGATTACAGACACCTGCCACCACACCCAGCTAATTTTTGTATTTTTAATAGATACGGGGTTTTACCATGTTGGCCAGGCTGGTCTCAAACTCCTGAACTCAAGTGATCCACCTGCCTCGGCCTTCCAAGGTGCTGGAATTACAGGCATCAGCCACTGGGCCTAGTCCTGGTTTGGTCTTAACCTCCTGCCTCCCAAAATGCTAGAATTACAGGCATGAGTCAACGTGTTCAGCCCTATCTTGTTACTAAATGCGAATTATCCCCACATGTATAAAAGGGGAGGACAAAAAAGAATGAAAAGTTCTTATCACTTACTCTCTAAATCAGAAATAATGAGGTTGTCATGGAGTTTCACAGCACGATGTTGTTCTACTTCATCTTCAAGTTCAAAGATGGTTTCTTTCATGTCACTTCTTTCTGTTTCTTTTTCATCCAGCTCTGATCTTAATTTTTCTAATGTCATATTCAAATCTTCAATTTGTTTCTTAGCGTCTTCTTGGAAGGCTCGGTATTCATCCTCTACCTACATAAAATTGATGATGCAGTTTTAGAAAAGTAAGAGTTGTTCTAAGGTAAGTTTCAGAATTGAGGTACATACCGTTTTGAAGAGGAGCTAAATGTGAGGTACTATGGATGAACTAGAACAGCTTGTGTAATAACTGTTAAAAAGTATGAAAAAGCACTCCATGGTAAGATTTCATATAAAACCCTTAAACATAAACTGTTGCTGTAACACTGACTGAAATTATATTGATATTATCATTGAACTTAACCAGATTATTTACAGGGAAACTTTGGAAATTTTCCTTTCTCCAAAGTTTGAACTGAAAGCATGTACATTTGATTAATGATTAACATGCTGTCCTAACAAAAATGACGTCATATTTGTGATGATTCCAGTGTCAAACTGAAAAAGGGAAAAACAATTCTCAAATGGTGTTTTTACAAAAGTATTAGTTCATAGTAGCCCCTCAACATACATGTACCAAGAAATAACACAAATCTCCTAAACTGTAACTTCAAAAGTAATCATTAAAAAAACCTTAAAATCTAAATTATCCAAATTTTGGCCAAAGATATATTAAAATTTCTTTAAAAATCACCGCACTAAAGTAACAAATAAATAAAATGTAAGCTAGAATAACAGATAACTCATGGAAATAAACACTTCATCAGCAACCACATGGGGTACAGATTCCTGGCCAGAATGCCAGCAGCCCTGGGTAGCAGTTCCAACTGAGTTCTCACTATTATGCTGCATGCATGTAAAACAAGGGGCTGGACTGATGGTCACTAAGGTCCCTGCCAGCAATAAGTCACACGCCTCTGAGAAACAGGAGTCTCCATATGCCAAAAATATTTTTAAACTCTCAACAGATCTCTATTTGAAAAACTATTACTATAGTGGGATAAAAGGAAATATGCACTGCTGATGCTACAGACTGGAATACTGACTCTCCATGTATATTATACCAAAACAGATTCAAGATGAGGTGGGAGGAGGTAAAGTTTCATGACCTGCTCCATAGGCATACTCAGAACTAGGGACAAATTCTGGTTTTAGCTGTAATACCAGCCACATCCTCTCACAGGCAGGAAAACAGAAACAAAATACAAGTGAAAAAAAAAAAAAAAAAAAAGAAAAAAAAAAAAAAAAAAAACAAAATACAAGTGAGAGAAAGTGACATTATCTTAAGAATACTTTCACTCTATTCCCAAAAAAGGAAATCATTCTCAAGTTTTAAAAATATCAGCTTTAAAAAAAGCTAATAACACACCAAACCAAATCAGTGACCCTGGTTCTCAGTAAGCATTATGCATGGCAGCTGCCTAATGCTGTCCGGAACATTTTAATCTATTTAAACAATACCTTAGCAAGGGCATCCTGTAATCGATTGGCATCATTTCGGGTATGAGCCAGATCTTCCTGCAAGCTACTAGCCAAAGTCTCTGCTTTTTCTTTGTCCAGCCTGACACTCTCCAGGAGGTCCTGAATATCAGATTTGTCTCCAGAGTTATGGATAGAATACAGCTCTGCCACTTTCTGCTTTTCATTCTCCAGCTGGGCCTTCAGGCGATTCATCTCTATCTGGTCACTGGCCACTGTGGCTTTGTACTCCTCTAACGTGGCTGCCAAGGCTGCTTTCCCTTTCTGCTCAGACTCAATAATTCGCTCCATATGGTGACTGCGTTCTTTGAGTGCCCCTATCATTTCTTGAGCTTCCTTGTTGTCTTGTTCTGCCATTTTCAAAGTATTGCTTAAATGCTGCTGGACACCAAGAAGCTGCTCCCGCTCAAAACGGGCATTCTCGGCGAGGTCCATGTAACGTTGCTCTAATTCCATATAGCGCCCACTTTTTACATCTTCATCTATGACGTAAGATATGTGATGCTCATCTAGAAGAGAGCGGAAGTATTCAATCTGCCGACTAAAGTGTTCCAACTTATCGCTCTGCTGACATAAAGACTCCATCAGAATAACCTTCTCTTCTCCAAGCCTTTCATTTTCACTATTCAGTTCTTGGGTAATTTGCTGCAAATCAGCTAGCTCTTGCAGGGTTGCCTGGAGTTCCTCACTTGTACTGTGTTGGTTCTCTTCCATCTGATGTATCCGTTCAGTCAGGCAAGCCACAGACACTTCACTGGCGTTCCCGCTGCTCCCCTTCCGGGAGCGCTCTATGCTGGGGATGCCTTCCGACTCTGAAGAGGACGGTGCATCCAGCGCATCATCGCTCGATGTGAGGGGCTGGTAGACCTCACTGCACTCGCTGTCTAGATTGTCCATGGAGTTACTGTGCTGATGGTCCATTAGTGTATTTTCATCCTGACTCAAGAGATCCTCCACTGAGCCAGGGGCAGAGCCTTCCACTGAAGAAGTCACAGTTCCTCCTCCATCGCTCTGGTTACCAGGGGTGATTTCTGGACTCAGGGACTGATAGCCAAACAGTTTTTCAGAATTGTCTAACCTCTGCTCTAGGGAAAAGCCCAGTGCATTCAACCTATCCTTTAACATTCTGTTTTCATTTTTCAGCTGGTTGAGTTCTTCACGGATGGCAGTATTCTGTTCCTGCAACTGCAATAAAGTGGACTCCACATCAGTCGGCTGGTGAGCAATAATGGTTTCCTTCTCAGATTTTTCATCACCCTCAGAATGCTCCTCACTAATGCCCAGCTGGGCACGCATGTCTCGCAGTTCATTTCTCAAGTGTAAAATTTCTACGTCTTTGGTTTTTGCCAGTGTGAGAAGATCCTTCACTTTGGCCTCCAAAGCAGCTTTGTCACTGATCTGATTGTCCGACTTAGACTTGCTCATACGAACATCACATTCTGTAGCAGTTCGACTACGGGAACGTTTAGCCAATGCCACGTCATTAGCTCCCTGACCTGCAGAAGGTAGTTTTTTGCTCTGGTTTAATCGGGTACGTTCACGTAATCTTTCTCTAGTAGAACTGGATTCTTTATTACCTGTAGAAGTGCTCCGCTTGGTTGAAGAAGCTGTGCCTATATGTTTAATACAAAAAATATAAGGCAAAAATGTTAACAATAAAAGGCTAGGTAAAATACACAGTTCCTGCTCCACGTGTCATGAGATGAAATCCAGGATCTACATGTTGATTTAGAGCTACAATAATCTTGCCTTAGATTACTTTAGTTTCTGCCTCTGTTACTTTGAAGTTCAATTTCTTCGAAACCAGAAGATCATTCATCTTTTAATTATTAAGGAAAAATAAGTTATACACTTTATTTTACACTTTATTAAAAGAGTAAATTTTATGGAATGTGAATTACATCTCTATATGCTATTATTTAAATGATATATAATAACTTGAATCCAGAAGCAGAGTTTTAACCAGTTGGCCAGAGGCATAATATTATAGGGCAAGACAAGCAAAGATGACTCCAGGATTAGCCAGTCGGTGGTAAACTAACTGTACACAGATAGTGAAGGGAGATCACAGGTGGCCAAGAAGGGAAAAGGAACCTCTGGACAAATCAAAAATCTAAGCTACCTACAAGAAACACAAAAATTTTACTCTGATCAAAGTAAACGCAAAAAAGTTTTCACATCGTAAAATGCCACATAACTAGTAACAATTATAACAACAGCTAGCACTTGGTTATATATACACGTAACATATACATTAACACTTCACATATATTAACTTATATAAGCCTCATTAAACACTGAGGTAGGTGCCATTATTACCTTGTTTTACAGATGAAGAAGCTCAGACACAGATGTTAAATAATTTGCCAACATCCCACAGGTAATAAATAGATGAGCCAAAATTCAAACCCAGGCAGTGGTTCCACAATTTGCACCTTAACCAGTATGTTATACTGCCTCTCTCTCTTTTTTTTTCTTCTGAGAAGGAGTCTTTGAGACTAGAGTGCAGTGGCATGATCTTGTCTCACTGCAACCTCCACCTCCTGGGTTCAAGCAATTCTTCTGTGTCAGCCTCTGAAGTAGCTGGGACTACAGGCGTGCACCAACACACCCGGCTAATTTATTTTTAGTAGAGACGGCGTTTCACCATATTGGCCAGGATAGTCTTGAACTCCTGACCTCGTGATCCACCTGCCTTGGCCTCCCAAAGTGCTGGAATTACAGGCATGAGCCACCACGCCCGGCCGTGCCTCTTTAAATGTTAAAAAACAATGAAGCATTAATGTTAAATAATGATTTGCCAAACAAATCTACATGAATCACATAATTACTTAACTACTAAAATTTTAAACCTGTTAAAACAACTGATACAATCATTTGTTTAATATAAAAAGAACAGAATTTATTTATTTATTTTTTTTTTGAGATAAAGTCTCACTCTGTCACCCAGTCTGTAGTACAGTGGCGTGATTTCGGCTCGCTGCAATCCTCTGAGTCCCAGGTTCAAGTGATTCTCCTGCCTCAGCCTCTCAAGTATCTGGGATTACAGGCACATGCCACCATGCCTTTATTTGTATTTTTAGTAGAGATGGGGTTTTACCATGTTGCTGATCTCAAACTCCTGACCTCAAATGATCCGCCCGCCTCGGCCTCCCAAAGTGCTAGGATTACAGGCAAGAGCCACCATAACCTGGCCAGGAATGTTTAAATACCTGTAAATACTTAAGAAATAATGAATTTTGGCCAGGTGTGGTGGCTCAAGCCTGTAATCCCAGCACTTTGGGAGGCCGAGGCGGGTGGATCACGAGGTCAAGAGATCGAGATCATCCTGGTCAACATGGTGAAACCCCGTCTCTACTAAAAATACAAAAAATCAGCTGGGCATGGTGGTGCGTGCCTGTAATCCCGGCTACTCAGGAGGCTGAGGCAGGAGAATTGCCTGAACCCGGGAGGCGGAGGTTGCGGTGAGCCGAGATCGCGCCATTGCACTCCAGCCTGGGTAAAAAAAGCGAAACTCCGTCTCAAAAAAAAAAAAAAAAAAAAAAAAACAAAAGAAATAATGAATTTTTATGTTAAAAAATAAGATCCACATCTACTCAATAAGTATTTTTAAAGACCCTGCTGGTGCATTAAGTGGTGGGATCCAGGCTATAAAGGTAACAGGGAGCAAATGATCTCCATGGATATAAAAAGATAGCCACTAACAGACCAGGTATACAGGAGGGTTGGTGGGGAATTCAGGCTGGCCAGAAGATAGACAAGGAAGAGAAAGCAGAAGTGAACATGGCACACAGAAAGGAAAAGTTCAGTCATACAGTTAACAGAAGCTGCTGGGGAATGTCCATATAGTCCCGAAAGATAGGCAGAATTCAGTGAGTCACACTAAGTCAATAAATGATCTTGAGTAGGAAAGAAATGTAAGGAAAATAGCATTTTATGAAAATTAATCTAGAGGATATTGATATGGTGTGGCTGTGTCCCCACCCAAATCACATCTTCATTGTAGTTCCCATAATCCTCATGTGTTTTGGAAGAGACCCAGTGGGAGGTAATTTAATCATGGGGGCAGTTACCTCATGCTATTCTTGTGATAGTGAATTCTCATGAGATCTGATGGCAAGGGGCTTTCCCTTCGCTTGGCTCTCATTCTTCTCCTTCCTGCCACTATGTGGAGAAGAACATGTTTGCTCACCCTTCCACCATGATTCTCAGTTTCCTGAGGCCTCCCCATCTCTGTGGAACTGTAACTAAATTAAACCTCTTTTCTTTATAAATTACTCAGTCTCAGGCAGTTCTTTACAGCAGCATGAGAATGGACTAATACAGATACTAAGTGACACATAAGGAAGAAAGCAGAGCAGCAGAGGATGAATGTGGGCAGGTAGACCACCATAAGTGAAAGAGGTCCTACATTCAGGAGCAGCAGTAAGAGCAGAGAAAGTGCAAGAAATCTGTGACAGATTTCAAAGGCAAAAGTAACTAGACTGAGAAAAACAACTGAATACAGAGGCCAGAAATGGAAAAAGATGGCATAACTTATTTATTTATTTTTTAGAAAGAGTCTTGCTCTGTCATCCAGGCTAGAGTGCAGTGGTGCCATCACAGCAAATCCACCTCTGAGGCTCAGGTGATCCTCCCATCTCAGCAGCCCAAGTAGCAGGGACTAAAGGCACATGCCACAACACCCAGCTAATTTTTGTATTTTTTGTAGAGACGGGGTTTCACCATGTTGCCCAAGTTGGTCTTGAACTCCTAGGCTCAAGTGATCTGCCCACCTTGGCCTCCCAAAATACTGGGATTACAGGCGTGCATCATTGCGCCGGGTTGGGGTAACTTTTTCCCCAACATTAATTCCTTTCCCTAGTTCTGTAAGCGGTAGTTCATCCTTATTTAAACCAAAAATCCTTCCAAAAAAGAAAATCTATTCATGTCTGAAAGATAAGAAAAATTCCTCTCTGGGATTAATGTAGGGAGTAGATAAAATAATCTGAGGTAAAGACAAATGAATTGATACACTGAAATCAAACAGTCTTAGGAAAGTCACTGGGAGAAGTAAAGGTAGTACAGATAACTGAAGAATAGGGATGCTGTTATAGGCTGAACTGTGTCCCCCCACAAAATTAATATACTGAAGCCCTAACCCCAAAACCTCAAATGTGACTGCACCTGGAGACAGCATAATTAAGGTAAAGAGGTAATCAAGGTAAAATGAAGTCATTAGGGTGGGCCCTAATCAAAATTCTTCCTTCCATTTCTCTAAACTGAGAATAGGTCTCTCATAGGGCTATGCAATGAAAATAAAATGAAATCATGCCTGTAAATCACAAAGTAAGGACTTCAATATTCCTTCTTGTTAATCATACCTACTGTAGTTAACAAAGGGGCCCAATCTGAAATGGAAGGAAGAATTTGCAAAAAGTTAAAGCAAAAAAGAAAACAGTAGGTAATCCTGGGCTAGGAAGTCTAACAGACACAAGAGGGGCTAAGAGCCTAAATTATGATGACAGAAAAGGATCTGCTATAATTTTGACAATTTGCTTTTATAACCTTTATTACAAACACTTGATCTTATGCTTACTGAAAGTTTTAAAGTTCTTTTTCTAAAAGTGTAAGAAGTAAAATATGAGAGCATTACTCCTTGGACTGTAAGATAATTTATCAACTCTATCAAATCTAAAAACAAACACATGCTACTGAATGAAGAAAGATGGCAGAATTAGAATGAATGGATCCAGGCACTGATATCAGAGGCTTCCAATGTCATCTGAAGAGGGATAATCAGAAACTATGTGTTTCCTGATGGATGGACACACCACCACATATGAAGGAGTCTTGCCGGGCGCGGTGGCTCAAGCCTGTAATCCCAGCACTTTGGGAGGCAGAGGCGGGTGGATCACGAGGTCAAAAGATCGAGACCATCCTGGTCAACATGGTGAAACCCCGTCTCTACTAAAAATACAAAAAATTAGCTGGGCATGGTGGTGCGTGCCTGTAATCCCAACTACTCAGGAGGCTGAGGCAGGAGAATTGCCTGAACCCAGGAGGCGGAGGTTGCGGTGAGCCGAGATCGCGCCATCGCACTCCAGCCTGGGTAACATGAGTGAAACTCCGCCTCAAAAAAAAAAAAAAAAAAAAAAAAAAAGAAGGAGTCTTGCTTTTTGGTTGCTGTTGTTCTTAAATGGGGGGACAAGGGACCTGAATCTGTCCTATAAGGCTCCAATGCCATTTATAATAACTACAGACAACAAAGGATGATGGGCAAAACATCATGGGGATATTATGATATAAAAATGCAGATGCTCCGAAACGCTACAGGTCATATGATCAGCTTCCACAAAAATTAAATTGCAAGAATCAGGATAAACACATAGATTTAAAAAAAAAGATTTAAGAGACACATCAGCCAATTACATATGGACCTACATGAGTCCTGATTTAAACATAAAAACAGACAGTAAATAAAACAAAAATATTTATAAGACTGTTGGAAATTTAAATAGTCATTGAATAAGTTATGATTTAAGGAATGATTATCAGTTATTTTAAGGACTGATAATGGTATTATGATTATATTTTTAGAAGAATCCTTCTCTTTCCAAGATAATAAAATGTTTATGAATGAAATGATATGATGTCTAGAATCCACTTCAAAATAATAAGAGGGGAGGGTGGTTATCAAGGAGGTACAACCGTCTATGAGTTGATAGTGGTGATGAGCATGATGAGCATATTGGGCTGAAATATCAATCCACCCACTTTTGCATGTCTGAAATTTCCTATAATTAGATGAAACACTGTAAACACCAACGCATCCTGCCTATTCAAACAAAAAAGCAGTTGAAGCCTCAGACTGAACATCACCCATACCTGTGCTAATCTTGGATTTGTTCTCCACGGTGGTCATGGCAGGGGCAGATGCTGAAGGTGCTGCAGATGGGCAGGTGCTTTTCTTTCCTTTAACACCATTAGTCACCGTTACCCCTCCGGCCATTCCAGCTAAAAGATCATCACTGCTCTTGGTCTAGAAGCAACAGAAAATAAAAACAAAGTTGCTAGATGAAGCAAGATTAGATATTTTGAGACTCAACAAAACTCTTGACTTATAGACTGAGTTCAAGAGCCCTATTACCAAAGCTTTCTGACAGGTCGTAAGCAGCACACCACACTGTGCTACAGAAACATAATTTCTTTACAGGTTTATCAACAATCACATACTTCTTTTTAAAATAATAAAATCGTACATGGAATCAAAATCTTGATTATTATGGGAGCCTGCTATGTGTCCACACATGCCAGATTCAGATGCTGGAGAATAGCACATGAGCTATCTTGGGAAAGTCCTATAATGCCACAGGAAGTGTCATTTTTCAATTTTTAGAAATATCATTGAGAGTCAAATAACCTTCACTGCTCCAAAGTGATTCCATGATGAGACCAGTATCTAAAAGAATTAATTCTGAAATTTATCTTTTTTACCTTATAATTCTGTACTAGTCAAATTTTAGTCACAATTTAAAGGAGGCATTTTCTAAAATATGCATAATATATTAAATAAAAACTAGAGACTTTACAGTTTGAGCAAGGGTTATGCTGTCTAAATGATCATATTACTTGAGAAAGACCATGTGCAATATTTATATTTTATAAAGACAATTTAAAAAATATGAGCTAAAAAAAAGCACTATGGATAATAAATTGGCTGTACATTTATTATTTTAAAAAGTAGTGAAGAAATGTTTTCACTTCTCCTAGAAATGAAGGGAACACAGAGGAGTTAAAAATCTATGGGGAAAAAAAGGAAAAACTACTTTTTAACAAAAGAATCCAAACGTCTCTCTTTGGCATAAGTTAGCCAACTGATTTATACCATCTTCTATTGGGAACCACGCCCGCTCTCAGATAATCGTACTGAATTCATTTCTACAAGTTAAAAATAGTTCATAAGTAACTAATCTCTAAAGTCTCTTCAAGTTCTAAATGTCAGTGACTCCCTATGGAGTGTATTTCTGCTATTCGATTGTGAAAGTTCTAATATAATACCATTAGGTTAAAAAGAGGCAGAAAAGGCTGGGCACATTGGCTCATGCCTGCAATCTTAGCATTTTGGGAGGCCATGGTGGACCACTTGAGCTCAGGAGTTCAAGACCAGCCTGGACAACACAGGGAGACTCTGTGTCTACAAAAAATTTAAAAACTAATTAGCTGGGCATAGTGGCACATGCCTGTAGTCCCAGCTGTTGGGAAGGTTGAAGTGAGAGGATTGCTTGAGCCCAAAAGATCAAAACTGCCCTGAGTGTGATCTTGCCACTGTACTCCAGCCTAGGCAACAGAGTGAGACCCTGTCCCCATCCCCACCCAAAAAGAGGGAGCAGAAAAAGGGATCAATATTTTCAATGAATTAAACATAATTAAACTCTGGTAATTTAGGGCTGTCACATGATGAAATCTAGAATACATAAAAAGAGAGGGAGGCACTGCATTACTTTCAAGGACTGTTCATATTCTTTTTTTGGAGATAAAGTCTTCATCTGCCACCAAGGCTGTAGTGCAGTGGTATGAACGTGGCTCACTGCAATCTCCACCTCCCAGGTTCAAGTGATTCTCCTGCCTCAGTCTCCTGAGTAGCTGGGACCACAAGTGTGTGCCACCGTGCCCAGCTAATTTTTTTTTCTTTTTTTTTCTTTTTTTTTTTTTTTTTTGAGAAGGAGTCTTGCTCTGTTGCCCAGGCTGTAGTACAGTGGCACAATGTCGGCTCACTGCAACCTCTGCCACATGGGTTCAAGCGATTCTCCTGCCTTAGCCTCCCGAGTAGTTGAGATTACAGGCACCTGCCACCACGCCTGGCTAATTTTTGTATTTTTAGTAAAGACAGGGTTTCACCATGTTGGCCAATGCTGGTCTTAAACTCTTGACCTCATGATCCGCCTGCCTTGGCCTCCCAAAGTGCTGGTATTACAGGCGTAGGCCACCGCACCTGGCCAACCAGCTAATCGTTGTATTTTTAGTAGAGATGGGGTATCGCCATGTTGGCTAGGCTGGTCTTGAACTCCTGGCCTCAAACGATCCACCTGCCTTGGCCTCCCAAACTGCTGGTATTACAGGTGTGAGCTACCTGTAATACTGTGGCCTGTTCATATTCTTTAAGACTTGTTTCTGTTCACAAAAACTGGCCATCAACTATGATGCCAAAAAGTTACACAATGAAAGTCATACCACTTTTCTGCCAATTTGTCCCTCCTCTGTTAGCCAGTAAATAAACGTGACATATTCTTATATTTTCAATCTTCTTTTATATCCTGTTAAGAAGAGTAAAATTATCTTTGAACTAATCTTTCTTCATAAGTTAAATATTCTTTCATTTGATAATAATTATACTTGAAAACCACCCTACATTGTTATGTCGAAGTAGATTACTCATCACAGGCCGAGCGTGGTGTCCCAGCACTGTGGGAGGCCGAGGCAGGTGGATCACGAGGTCAAGAGATCGAGACCATCCTGGTCAACATGGTGAAACCCCGTCTCTACTAAAACTACAAAAAAAAAAATTAGCTGGGCATGGTGGCGCATGCCTGTAATCCCAGCTACTCAGGAGGCTGAGGCAGGAGAATTGCCTGAACCCAGGAGGCGGAGGTTGCTGTGAGCCAAGATCGCGCCATTGCACTCCAGCCTGGGTAACAAGAGCGAAACTCCGACTCAAAAAAAAAGATTACTCATCACACTTCTCTGGTTATAATTTGCCTTTGGGTAATGACAAAGTTAAATATACATAAGGGCATCAAATCACAACCTTTGCACTTATAATAATTAAGACAGTACAGCACTGGCACAAGAATAAACTAATGAAACAGAGTCCATAAAGAAGCTTCATATTTATAGACACTTGATTTATAACCAAAGCAGCAATGCAGAAAACAAGAGTTTTCCAGCAAACATTGCTAGGTCAAATGTATACACAAAAAGGGCAAAAATAAATGCTAAGACCTATTTCACACCATATCAAATATAAAGTCCAAGCTTTTCTAACTATGATTTTAAATCTGAAATAGTAAAACAAAGATGTGATTGATTTGACTACATTAAAATTAAAATCTCAAAAATAAAAAATCCTGGGCGGGCGCAGTGGCACACACCTGTAATCCCAGCACTTTGGAAGCCTGAGGCAGGCAGATCATGAGGTCAAGAGATCAAGACCATCCTGGCCAAGGTGGTGAAACCCTGTCTCTACTAAAAATACAAAAAATTAGCCAGGTATGGTGGCAAGCACCTGTAATCCCAGTACTCAGGAGGCTTAGGCAGGAGAATCGCTTGAACCTGGGAGGTAGGAGCCAAGATCGTGCCACTGCACTTCAGAGTGAGACTCTGTCTCCAAAAAAAAAAAAAAAAAAAAAAATCCTTTTAATTAAAAAAAATGTTAAAATGTTTTGCACAACCATAAAACCATCTTAAGTAGCATTTAAAAACAAAAAACTGGGAAAGTATATTTGCAGTATCTCACAGATAAATGGTTAAGGTCCCTAATATGTACAGAATGCTTTAAAATTGAGGGGGAAAAGACCAGAAAAAGAAAAATGAGCAAAATGAATGAATCACACAATCAATTTACATTCACACACACACACACACACACACACACACACACACACACACACACAAATACAGAAAATGATTGACCTAACTCATAATGAGAGAAATGCAAATTAAGCAGCACTTGTCACTTACCAGATTGGTAAACACACTCTTTTGGGAAGAATATGGGGAAACAGGCACCCTCCTTAGTTGTTGATGGGAATGCAGCTTAACTTAAGCCTTATGAAAGGAATCATGCAATATCTAACAAAGCTACACATATATTTACCTTTTGCCCAGCAACTTCACTTCTAGGAATTTAACCTTACGACACACCTCCAATAAGACAAATACATATGCAGAAGGCTAATTATTCATTGCAGCATTGTTTTCTATTGCAAAATACTGGTCTGACTTACATGCCTATATACACAGGAAAGCATATGCAGTACACATCAGTGAATACAATGAGGTATTAAACAGCAATAAAAAATAAGAAAGACTGCTACAAATTGGATGGAGAGAAATTTCTGGAGTACATTAAGTGAAAGGATTCAGAGTGCAAAAGAATGTATTTTGCCACCTTTTGCGTAAGAAAGGAGAAGTAAAAAAATGTATTTGCTCATTTATGCAAAAAAGAAACATGAAAAGAATAAACAAAAACTGAACCTCTGTGGTGGGTGGGTACCCAATAAGAAAGAACGGGGGGGAAGGGAGGGGCACTTTTCTGAATATATCTTCTCACATGGTTCTGACTCTGGAGCCGTGTTAGTGTTTCATATGCTGAAAATAAACAAGTAAATAAAATTTAAATAAAGATAGGAGAAGCCTAAAATGGAATAGGATAGGAACAAACAGACCTAACTATATTTCAAATGAACAACATAACCCAAGTATTTTTTCAACACAGCAGTATTTTGACCATAAATCCTCAAACTCTCAAGCCAAAGACAAAGCGCATGCAAATATTAAACTTCAATTGATAAATTTGTTTCTCACAGTGGTATAGGTATTTTCTGTATATTATAGGGTAGAGAAAATAAGTAAATGTAGGTGGTAGAGGCCAGGTTTTTCAGTGTTGGATAAATGAATTACAATTACAGAATGTGGAAAGGCTGTTATGAACCTTTTAAGTCAATAGAATTGGAAGTATCAGTGTGAACTCAAACATCTAAATATATGGAGAAACAGGTAGAGAAACTGACATAGGAGAGAGAGAGAGAGAGAGAGAGAGAGAGAGAGAGAGAGAGAGAGAG